CATATAAGAAGTTTACCAGACCTGTCTACAACCCACATTGAGGATGTAGAAGCACTAAAAGAACAAATACATGGACTCAAAAATGAATTAGAGAGCGCGCATCAAGAAATTGAAATACTAACAATAGAAAATAACCAATTAAAACAAATAACTGTTGACCAGGACAGAAAACTCTCACAGTTTAAAGAAATTTACCAAGGCTCGCCGTCCTACAAAACCCCTGTCCGAAGAAGAAAAACTAGGGGAAACTGTACGTTATTGGATGACACTATACACACCAACTACAAAAGTAACGACTATGAAGAACCTAGTACAAGTCAACCGATAGATGTCGCTACTGATACGTTGCAAAAACAAACTACATTTAACAACAAATCACTTCTTAGCAATAAAGAGAAAAATGTACCACGGAATATTGATAGTCAGCGTAACATATACATTTTTGGAGACCAACAAGCCTACGGTCTTAATAAAACTTTGACTGACAGCAGATCCAACAAATGGAATGATGTCTATAACGTAAGGTCTTTCATCAAACCAGCGGCTACGAGTGAACAAGTACTCAAAAGCTGCAATGACGACTTCGTAAAGGTACTGACGCCAGATGATATTATAGTGTTATTCTTAGGCTCGAACGACAGAAACCCTTATTTATTTTTGACTGAAATATGTAACGTACTTTATAAGCTGCGTAACCATACTGTGTTCATCACTAATGTGCAATTCAATCCGTACTTGAACGAAAATGCAATCAATTATAATTTGGAACTAATTATACAGAACTATAACAATTGTAAATTCATAAAAACTCTAAACTTGGCACACCAACATTACAATAACGCTAGAAAAATTAATCAACGGGATTATCTGAATTATTTGTGTTTTAGATTAAATACGAAAATCGACTATAAGAAATACCATAGCCAGTTTCTAAATAAATGTGTAAATAAACAAAATAGAATTCGCCAAGACAATACTTTTATAAAACAAACTAACATAATATACAAACTACCCGTAAAAACAACACAAACAAAAATAACAACCTATTACAAAGCTATACCTGACAAAACAAACTTAAATACCGACTTTTTTCGTGGAGCAAAATAAAACCACAGAAATAACATTGATTCATCAAAATATTGCAGGTGTACTAAGTAAACAAGAACAAATCGAAGTTGCTATAAAGGAATTGGAAATTGAACTAGGCTCTATTGACATTATATGTCTAACAGAAACCTTCCTTAAGAATGGTTCTGAAGCAAACCTCAGACTTGATAACTACAGAATAGCATCCTACTTCTCTCGCTCAAACCAACGTCGGGGTGGTTCATGTATCCTAATAAAAAAATATTTGCAATACAAAGAGGTAGTAAATCTTATACCCCCAGTTCCTCTCCAATTCGAGTACTGCGCGGTTGAAATAATTAAAGTTAACCTAACAGTGGTATGCATATACAGAACCCCTACATATGAAGCTACGACATTTATTAAAAATCTAGAATTGCTCATTAATAAACTGTGCAAAAACGTTAACAAAAACGTCGTCATATGTGGTGACTGGAATATAGACATGCTAAAAATTAATAAAGTGTCTAATGACTTGAATTCGTTACTTAATAATAACAACTTAAAAAACCATATTACCTTACCCACGAGGAACATGTCTTGTTTGGACTTAATTGTTAGCAATATACACAACGCTAAATCTCGACTGCATTATTTGGCACTCTCCGATCACGAAACAGCTCAATCGCTAACAATTAACGTGGAGACAAACGAGAAACCTAAAGACAATTACAGTTTCTGGTTTAAAACTATAAGGGACCTTAGTGAAATGAATATAGCAAAATTTAAAAAATGTTTATCAAGCTTATCATTCTCTGAGATATACGAATGCCAATCAACAAACGAAGCGTTCAATTGTTTCCACGATATAATAACACTCTTCTATAAGTTATGCTTTCCTGTAATTAAAATTAAAATCTGTAATAAACAAGTAAAAAACCGAGGTTTAACTAAAAACTTAAAACGGTGCTGTATTAAAAAACGAACATTATACCTAAAATATAAGCTTTGTAAAGACAATAAAAAACGAAACAAACAGAAATTTGATGACTACACCAGGATATTGAAAAGATGCATACATAAAGCACAACAAATTAAAAGTTTACAGTACATCAACAAAGCCAAAAATGCAAGTAAAGCAGCATGGGACTTAATAAAAGCTAACATTAACAATACGCAAAATTACTCTGACATTGAATCAATAATAATCAATACTGACATTGTTGACAATCCTAAAAATATTTGTGACCAATTTAATGACTACTACATATCACTAACCAACTCAAGCCAAAAACAACAGCAAAACAATCAGAATACCAGCTACACGATTCCTCAAAATCAGAAAAGTATTTTCCTAACACCAATAGACGCAAGGGATGTGTATAAAACAATACATGGTTTACGAAATACAAATGCAACAGGTTATGACGAATTACATACTAAAGTGTTAAAAATTTGTTCGGTGAGCTTAGTCTCGCCCTTAAGCTACATAATTAATCTTTCCTTAAGTGAAGGAATTTTTCCAGACCGTCTAAAATTTTCTGTTGTGAAACCTTTATACAAAAAAGGCTCAAAGCAGGATATGAGCAACTATCGGCCAATCACGTTAATCCCTATATTATCAAAAATATTAGAAAAAATTGTATGTAATAAACTAGATAACTTTTTAACATCATGTAATATTCTAAGAAAGGAACAATTTGGGTTTAGAAAGGGGAGCTCGACGACTTCAGCATGTTTCTCACTGATCAAACAAATATCAGAAAGTCTAAATCAAAAATCTAAAATAGCCTGTATCTTTCTAGACATGACGAAAGCTTTTGACTTTGTCTGTCATAAGAGACTACTCTCCAAACTTTCGCACTATGGAATCCGCGGGAAGGCCAATGAATGGATCAAAAGCTTTCTTGCTGATCGACAGCAATGCGTGGAAATAACAAGAACGTATGAAAATGTACAAAACACATACAAATCAAGGTACAAAAAGAAAATCATTGGCACACCCCAAGGAGGCATTTTATCCCCTCTGTTATTTTTGTTGTACATTAACGACCTGCCTCAAGCGGTCAATGAAGAATGCGTATTATTTGCTGACGACACAACACTGATAATTAAAAGCAAAGATAATGATGACTTAGAGAAACATATTGTTAAAGCACTGGATAAGGTGACTAAATGGCTAGAAGAAAACAACTTAAAAATAAACATGACAAAAACGAATGTAATAAAATTCCAAGCACCTAACACAAACACACATCATTTACTCAACATTCAATTTAATAATTTCACCATAAACACGGTCAATGAATGTGTATTTTTAGGTATAACTGTAGACAAACATTGCACCTGGAAACCTCACATAGATAAAACACGAAAAAAACTGGATCGATTTGTGTATGTCTTGAGACGAATGAGACAAACAATAAACCTAAGGACTGCTATAGTTGCTTATAATGCCTATGTGGCATCGGTAATCAGATACGGAATCATAATTTGGGGAAACTCGGTCGAGGTCGAGACGTTATTTAAAGCACAAAAAAAATGTATCCGAGCAATGAGTGGAGCCCACTTTTTAGAAAGTTGTAAGCCATTGCTTCAAAATCTTAATATTTTATCTTTACCGTGTCTTTATATTTTTGAAACATGCATGTTTGTAAAAAGGAATTATAGTTTATTTGAAGAAAACGGTTTAAAACCAAATAGTAGAATAAGACACAAAGATAGATTGAAATTACCCCAAATAAAATTAATGTTATTTAAGAGAAATGTTTACTGCATGGCTATTATCATTTATAATAATTTACCAAACAAATTTCAAGATTTGCCTGTCCTAATATTCAAAAAGTTATTGTTTAAACGCCTTGTAGAAAAACAATATTACAGTGTTAGAGAATACTTAGAGGATAAGTCATGGAAATAATAAAGTAATTAGACTTTTATAAATTACAGTATGTAGGTACTTACTTGACTTGTTTATGAATTGTGTTGTATTTCGACATTTTATTATTGTATTATTATGACGATTGTATCTAATAATTGAATTCCTTGACATCTTACATTGTGACTACTGAACTACCTACTTAATTACTTATGACTTTTATCGATCAACATTTAATTTTATAAAAATCAATGACATTTTATATTATAAAGTAGGTGGTCCAGATATTTAATAAACTAGATAGTACTATATAGAATCAATGTTTTTGGTAAAATATGAAATGTAATACTATTATAATTATTTCTACACCGGAGACGGTTGTGTATGTGAAACTGCTGTATTGTTAAGATCTGTGTGTACCATATACTGAGAAATAAACGATATTATTATTATTATATTATAACGAGCAGACCAATCACCTGATTGTAAGCAATCACCCATGAACACCTGACACACCAGAGGCGTTATTACAAGTGCTTAACAGGCCTTTTGGCATTGAGAATTTGTGATTTTGCGGGATTCGGAGATTAGGGAGACCGGAGACCCCTCTCCAGTCTAGGTAATTGGGCCTCCGGTAACCTCACTCACACGACAAAACACAATGCAAGTATTGTTTCACGTCGGTTTTCTATGAAGCCGTGGTATTACTCCGGTCGAGCCGTCCCATTCGTGCCGAAGCAAGGCTCTCCTACACTTAACTGAGCCGATAAAAAATGGGTGTTATGTTTAACATAATTAGGAATGCACTTTTCCTAAATATGAATACCCAAGCTAATAATTTGTTTACAGAGTACAAGATTAACAACAATAAAAAATGTCCGTTTATTGAAATAGCGACCTTCAGGAAAAAACAAATGCATTGCTTGGTATCGTATTCAATCAAAATTTTCCTTTGTAAACAAATGTCTGTATATAAAGCGAAACACTTGCGTTGAATTTAAGTCAATCAATTACCTTTCTAGCCAGAAGGTGTATTACGTAAAACAGTGCATTAAAAATGAAGTTCTTTATTGTATTAGTATTCACAGTTTTATTAGGTACGTATTTTCGTTATATATTTTAATATTTAATGGTAATAATGGGGCCGTCGGTAGAGGGCGCCCTAGACGAACATATAGTAACCAGATTGGCGATATATTAAAAAAGGGCCAAATTAAAAGTACCCTTAACCGACGAGCATGCATTAAAAGATTGATGACTGTTGATGAAGCGAAAGAGGTATGTAGGAATCGTAGTAATTATCGTTCCCTAGTCTCTGCCTACTCCCATGGGAGACAGGCGTGAAGTTATGTACGTATGTATGTAATTTTGGTGAATATTATTTCTCAAATGTATTGTTTTACGTTAGGAAAGACTTTATTGTTTGAATCGTCTAGGATAATATAAGAGACAGATAAACAAACAAACATAAAATCAAACCTTTCCTATTTATACTATTAAATTAGTATACATGGATCAAATACGTAATTATGTATTTCACGTATTAACTACAATTAATTTAAATTTTCTTTTACAGTGCTAAAAATATCCAGTTACAAAACATATTCAACGCTCCACAGCATCGTTTTTACAAAGCTTAATTCCATGAAAGGTAATTTTTCTATTTATAATATCTATCGTACTATATCCTCAATTAACTGAAAATCGCGGGTTACTCGCGTAAAAATACTGAGATAAGAGCTTAACTAGTTTCGAATCACTGAGGGGTTCCTCCAAGGCAAGGGGTCTCGGTTTCGATTCAGGTCAGGTCGGGCAAAGAATTGCTGGAGTTTTAAAAAAAATCTCAGTAGTGTAGCACGGAGTCTGGAATTGTGCCCGGTGTATGGCGATAGGCTCACCCCTTGATATCATTATCATATGTATCAAGTTTTATATCTAAGACTTGATATGCGAAAAGTGGGTGTTACATTGTACAGTGGCATTAAGTAATGTGCAACTCTACCTACCTCTTCGGAGACAAAGGCGTGATGATATTTGTTATTTTACAATAGGTACGTATGTTTATAAAATGTAGTTGTTATCCCCATTATCTAAAACTGTATCAATACAATTTTCAGAGTCTACACACAGCGAATACTATTTGGGAAAATGTTCACCATTGAACAAGGAGATTCTGTGGATCGAACACTTCACATATAAAGACCTTAAGGGAAGGATGATGATTCAGGTATATTTCCCGCGTTATTAAAAATATACCTCGATTTAAAAAAGAGTGTTTCTAAATTCTCATCTTACTCAATAGTAATACAATTAATACAGTTATACAATTCTTTTAAGTAGGACGTCTTACTTATTACTAAATTAAATGTATACAACTTAAGATAAAAATTAGTTAAAATAAAACTAAATAGTTACGATAACGGAAAGTACCCAGAAAGCTGGCAGCATTGCCACGTTGTATGGCAATGCTTAACCTCTGACCGAGAAAAAGACCTTAAGCTGATTATGTGTATGTTAACATATGTTAAGTGTGGGAGAGCCATGCTTCAGCACGAATAGGCCGGCTCGACCGGAGTAATACCACGGCCTCACAGAAAACCGACTTAAAGTAACGCTTGCGTTGTATTTCGACGTGTGAGTGAGGTGACCGGAGGCCCAATTACCCTCCCCTTCCTCAATCTCTGAATCCCCAACGATCCTCAAACTCCTAATCCCCAAAAGGCCGGTAACGCACTTGTAACGCCTCTGGTGTTCCAGGTATCCATGGTCGACGCCGATTGCTTACCATCAGGTGATCCGTCTGCTCGTTTACCGGCTTATGCCATAAAAAAAAACAAACATACTGAATGGCTGAAAGGACCGGGATGAAATTTGGAACAGGAATATATTACGTTCTGGAATAACACATAGGTTTTTTATCCCACGGATTGGTTTAAAGCGTAGTTTATAAAATAACTAGCTGTTACCCGCGAGTTTGTTCGCGTGAAATTATTAATATTTCTTGTTAATTTATACTTTTTTGACGCGACAACGTGTTGATTGACGAGGCGTATTTGAGAGCTAGTATGAAACGGAACGTTTATTGTCTACTCAAGATGGCGACTGCGGTTTGTCTGTCAGTGTCAATTACATTAATTAATAAAACGAAATAATCTCCGTAATCCGAATTTTGCGAATATATGTTGTCGACTTGAAATCGTTTTTTTATGTTTTGTTATTCAGGTAATGTTTCGATCGAGTCTACTGTACCCCATGACGAAATTGTTAATATTGATTATTAATGATTTTTTACTCTTTATTTCAGGGTCATATGAATTTTACGGAAAAAAATCCCAAGTTACCGGGTTGTATACGTATAAAATCAAAGGCTGCTCACACCGATCTAGTTAGATACAACTCGTATCACTTCACAATATGCTTTGGTAGACTTACATTGCACATTAGGGGTAAAATAACGTACCACCATTACTATGAATGGTTCATCCCCTTGGAAATGCGAGAAGGTATCGATTGGTTTATTTACTTTTACCGTGTTAAAGTATAAGAGAGACACATTGGATCATACCTACCTCCGAAAGACAATGAAGAAATAAATGAGATAATGTAACATGTGAATTGCTTTTTATTTGTACTATACTTATAATACCTAATCAATATTCAGTCCTGTCATATTATTATGATGGGGTATTTAAATATGTTATATATACTATATATAATAGTCTCTTTCCGACAGTTACGTCTGAAATCTCGTAATAGAAAGAATATTTATAAATATATTATAGCATAATTAGCCAATTAGCGTCATTCCACTAACGGCCAGAATAACTAGCCATTTGATTGAATACAGCTGATATAAACAGAAATCTAGAGTTGCCAGAATTGTACTGCGATATCATTTAATAAAACAGGTTAGGGCGATATTTGAATGGCTTATTATGCTAGTTGACTGCTACATCTACATCTGTGTATATAAACTTAAACAATCAAAGTACGTACAACGATAAACAAAGTAATTACAAACTTGACACAATCGTAGAGTTGCCAGCATCGACAAACATTAAATAAATACACCAAAAGTGAATTACATTGTTTGACAAGGAAACTTGTTAGTAAGTGATAACTAAAGGCTGGCAACATCCAAATATTGATCAAGGTGCTCTGTCATGGAGTATAGAGATAAAGAGTACTAGGTACTCCCTAGCTAGATATGTGGGCAAACTCGCCGTACAAAGACGTGATAGTTTGGTATGCTTGCTCGCGATATTAGTACTACTAGAGATACACAACTTCTACGGTTCTACTTGAATTTTTTCAAAAATATCAAAGAATGTAACATTTTATTTAAACACCTTTACAATAAAGTTGGTAACATTATGACAACCTATGTTTTATTGTTAAAGCTGGTATGTGAACAAAATGCTTATATAACTCATTGCAATTTTTTCTCTTTGATTTCTACACGTGACACTCCTAACCCTTAATAATCCACAATCCATCCATATTTCAGCAACTAATTATAATTTAATCTTGTTAAGATAATTAGATCCTAAGTTGAAGGAAAATTAATTAGGCTCATACGATACGTTACCTATTATCTTAAGTCAAATACCTGAATCTATTTGTAAAGTCAATACAATTATGCCATTGTAAATAGTAATCTATTAGCAATTAATTTCAATTGAGGATTCACGAGTCGTCTTAATACATATCTTATAACTTACAACGCTTTGACTGCATTTACTAGATGTGTGGGCCAATAGCGTAGGTCTTTATACTTCTTAGGTTTTATACTACACCCATAAGTGTTTTTTATGGTATAAGCCAGTAAACGAGCAGACGGATCACCTGATGGTAAACAATTGGCGTCGCCCATGGACACCTGGAACACCAGAGGCGTTACAAGTGCGTTACTGGCCTTTTGGGAGTAGGAATTTGATGATTATTGGGGATTCAGGGATTGGGGAAGGGTGGAGTTAATGGTGGGTTTAATTGGGCCTCTGGTAACCTCACTTTCTCGACGAAACACAACGCAAGCGTTGTTTCACGTCGGCTTTCTGTGAGTAATAAAATTGTAATTCGCAAATTATTGTGTCGGCTCTCGAACTCACATCATGTAGCACGGCAGCCAGATGTCAAGTCTTATGTATGTATATGCCAACAGTGCAACTGACGTAGTTGGCAACACTTAACAGGCTTGAAACAGTGCTTACCGACGCACGGTCAGCGCTAAACAACGCATCGGTCAGCGTAGCTGTATCTATGCAAGTCAATAAATGCACACAGCTACGCTGGCAGTAGGCTCGTGATCTGTGTACTTTAGCTATGGCCATTGAAGCACTTGTCTACCGAAAGAGTAGAACTCTTCAAGTATGAAAATAACACAAACAAGTGTCAAAATGTAGTTTTCTTCTCTCTCGGCATCTACTCGCTCGGTTCATATCTGCCGCATCTCGGGCGGGCGATGGGCCAAACTTACTACTGAGTTGAGCTCGCTCAACGACAATAGGCGTCGCGGCAGGCCCAAAAGGAGATGACGGGATGAAATAGATATCTGTAACAAAGATTGACCCCAAAAAGCTTTGCATAGAAAAGAGTGGAAGGAGAAGGATACCTGTACCCTGCAGTGGGACAACCATAGATGAAAATAAATAATTATCTCCGTAGTTAGTACTACGGAGATAATTATTTATACTATTTAACTATTATATAATTATTTGTACTATTGCTGCATTATTGTAGTCAATAATGCAGCAATAGTACCTAAACCTCCACACAAGAGACCAACATGGCAGATTATGATCATAATTAAAAATATCACTCTGCTTTATCAAGGAAACTAAACTGTCACAGTAATATCTGCCTATTGCTGCTACTGCTATTCCTTTTAAGAACAAATCAGAGTCCGTTCAACTGGCCCATAATCGATAGAAACCAACAAACTTCTGACTGTTTATTTATAACAATAAAAAGTTAACAAACTTCAAGTCCAATTTAACTTTTGCTCTGATAACCGAAGTTATTTGTGGACTATAAACAAGTTACCAAGTTAATTTGTACATCTATCGAGTTAATGTAGTCGTTAACGTCATTTGTTCGATAACTGTGAGGTTTTATTTTTTTTGAGGGGAGAATTCATCCCATGAATTCTCCCGCCCGGGTGAGGCGAGAGGGAGTGTCAGACTCTTACTGACTAAAAACCACCCCGTTCCTACTCCTGCACTTCGAGCCGGAGCCCCGGCAACCCGTTAAGTCTTCCGCGGCTCCGTATCAGCATCAGCCCTGCTGGGCCCCATCTGTTGTGGTCTGACGGCTCCTTGAGGCGCGCGCGGAACGTGACGCGTCGTAATAACTGTAAGGTCTACCATTTACGAGTACCTAATAAGCGATCTATGTCTGTCGTACTTTAAATAGGTATAATTCATTGGTATATAACTTATGTCTTTTAATTTCTACATAATTTTTATTTAAATATCATAATTTATATAACTACATAAATATTTACAACTTAAAATTAACTACAACTAAACTATTAAATAAAAAGAAAGTAAAAGAAAACAACAAAAATTATACCCTTAATTTAGGCGTCAAAGTATTCGTCCGCATCACTATCACAGGGGAAAGTTCCCAGAAGACTGGCAGCATTGCCACGTTGAATGGCAATGCTTATTTTCTGTCCGAAGAAAAAGCCAGCCCTCTGGTCACGTGTAGAGTCGATTAGCCTACGGGCGATGTCTTTAAACACAGAGTGTGCACTGGGACCCCATGGCCCAAGTGTTTCGACCCCAAACGGCTCAAAACAGTAGTTACCCACTAGATTTGAATATTTACACCGTTTGAGGGCCTCTGCCGCGGAAGCAGCTGCACCAACGCATGCAGCGGTGCTTAAAAGATGTGATGGCGCAAGGGTGTCTACACACGTCGCGTCCCACACCAAAGGCCTACCCATCTTCCAAGGCAGCAACGACATACCATCTGGTCTTTTGCCGTCATCATGTACCAAACCATTAGGTTCTAATACGGCTGGTACACCGGCTGAGGCAAGAGCACGACGAATGATGTCGTTGATGCTGGCATGGCGAGCTATGCGGCATGCACTTCTGCAACAAGAAAGACCATGGTGTCTCAAGCCATCGACTCTTTCTCCACAGTGACAATAATGCGGAGAAACACAAGGAGCACCTAAACGTAGGCATACAGCTAGGCGGAACGTTATGTCATCCAACATAGTACCTATGAAGGGTGACGGAAGTGCCTGAAGCCACAATCCTGATTCCCATTCTCCCACAGCCAATAAGCGAGCTCGCTCTGCAGTATTAGGTGACGAGTTGATTAAAGACTCACGAATAACACTGCACAGCGGCACGTCCCACTGTCTCTGAGAAGACGGGTGAACAGGTAAATCCGTAAGTGGGCAAGCCATTTTCCACGCTTCCACTGCATCAGTCAAACACGGCACCTCAAAACTGGTCAGTGACGAAGAAAGAATTTTCCTGACATTGGTATATTAGATTTGAAGTAGATTTTCTTCTTCGTTCTTGCATATTCTGCATACTCTTAAGGAAAGACTGGAGTCTTGATACGTATTTTCCAAAAACAGCTGAGTTCTGGAGAAGTTATCTGGTCGTGGACGTCTTGTATTATCAGTCAGTCAGTCGAGATCATACTCTAAATAACCACCTTCATTATAAGTCACATATAACACTTTAATATCAACATACGGATAGTTAGTAGTCTCATATGCCGCAGCCATTGATTGGGGTTAACATGTCAACTTCACTTAATGAGGCCAAGGGCGGAGCGGCTGACTTCCAACAGCAAACATCAAAGGGCAAGCTCTTGACTAGTGCAGAAGTGCTCTTAGTAGCTAACGAACGACTTGGATAAAACCCCACCACTTGTACTAGTTAGCGAATGAGCGAAAACTCATTGGTCCCGTAATTATGTTGACTTTTTTAAGTGTTCACTGCTCAGCATAGTTATGTATGTATCTGACTGTGTCATAAAGATTAATGTTCAGTTGAAACTATTTGTAATACGTTGGTATTCCTTGCGAATGTTTTTTGTTTTGTTTTTAATTCTGAGGATATGAGATAAATATAAGCAGCGCAGCGGTTCAAGAACATTTGTATTTAACGTGGAATGTCGTTGATTATCATGTATGGACCACAATGTTAAAATATCATATTTATGTGTATGTGTTTGAAATACTTAAAAATGATCACCAGACACCAACGTAACACCCGAGCGCGAGTTTTAATTGTCACGTCAGTTCCAAACTGTTATTTTTTATATTCCAAATAACAACTAATAACTAACTACACCCTCACAGTGGCCAGAAACTAACAAAAAAATAAAAACGCATTCTAAATTGGAATATTGCAATTTAAAGTTTATGCGCAACTAAATTCAACATGGCGGAAAACGGTTGAAACTCGTTTTCGGTCTTTCGAACAGAACCCCTTAAGAACTCAATTAATACTTTGGTACACATACATTAATAACCCCAGTTCACACATTTATTGCTGTGGAGGTATTTATTAGAGT